CACCACCCTCACCCCCACCCCAAGCAAGAGGCTTAACCATGCACTTTTTACTTAACTCCTGGACAATGACAACATCCTTGACTCCTGCTCATACAAGGGTCAGTTTATTGAGTTGCTGAAAGCAAGCCTGTGCCCATGAAACTGCATTTGAAAGGTGTAAAACTCCTAAGCAGGTACAGTGAGCAAGCTCTTCTGGAAGTGAGAAGGTTTGCCTTGTCTCTCTTCACACACGAATACAAGTGCTGATTCCCGTGTCTCATCCTGCCCCATGGAAAGCCAGGCTGCTTGAGAGCTAATGGGATATCTTACTAGTTCCTTTAGGGAGTGAGCAGTATGTTTCAGAAACAGAGTTGGATAATTTCTTAGACAGTAGTCCCTTCTGTTGACAGATCTATTTCAAGACCCTCAGTGGATACCCACAACCAGTTACACATCTCTAATAACGCTTAAATTATAAATGAGCTGGGCATGATAGTGCATGCCTGTAACCTTTCTGTCTGGGAGGCAGACAGTTCCTGGCTAGTCAGCAAAGGGATATGGAATAAGACTGTCTCAAAAAAGCATTTTAGGTGGTGATGGCGCATGCCTTTAATCCCAGCACTAGGGAGGCAGAGGCAGACTAGGAAGGCTGAGGCAGGTGGATCTCTGAGTTCTGAGGCCAGCTGGGTCTGTAAAGCAAGTTCCAGGATAATCAAAGCTACATAGAAAAGCCCTGTCTTCCCCACCCCCGCCAAAAAATAATAATTACAGATTAAGCATTGTGAGAGATTGACAACAGTAACTAATAAAATAACTATCAATGTGCTATAATAAAATTACATGGTCCTTTCCTGTGTCTCAAAGTATGTAATTGTTTTATATTAGTCCTGCTAGTGATGCTGTGAGCTGTGAGATATTTGAAGAAAGCAGTTCATTGCTTTTATGATGTGTCCAGATTGCTAGCATCACTATTCTCTAATTTTGAGAGCATTGCTAAATAAAGCCAGGGTTGTTTGAACACAAGCACTGATACTCTTACAGGTCTGATAACTAAGCCTCTGCCATTGACTAACAGGTAGGGAGCATTTACAGCATAAGGGTGCTGGATGGAGGGATGGTATAGTTAAGCAGGGCAGCATGAGATTTTACATACTGCCTGGAGCAGCCTATAGTTGAAATTATGCATTTTATTTACATGGCACATGTTTCTTTCTGGAACTGCCCATTTGTCCATGTTGATGATGGTAGATATAACTAAAACCAGACAAAAACTGACTAAGAATGAACTAGTATTCAGTGCCTCTTAACTGGAAGGTTTTCTACAAGGAAACCAGTTCATGCTGTGAATGATTTTTTTTTTTTTTTTTTTTTTTTGTTCTTTGAGACAGTTTCCCTGTGTAACAGCCCTGGCTGTCCTGGAACTTACTTTGTAGACCCAGCTGGCCTCAAACTCATAGAGTTTGCCTTCCCAGTGCTAGGATTAAAGGTGTGTGCCACCACCACCCTGCTTGCTGTGTGTGATTTTTAACCGAGTGGACATGAAAGACTGGTTGAGGGTGATGAGAATATCAGTTCATAGAGCTCTTCCTACACAGGATGAGGTGTAAAGACAGAATGCTAGTCATTTTATTTGAGCTAAAAAAAAGGGCAGGTAAAGAATAATGCTAGAGGAAGAAGAGCCTGTCCTGAAGACCATAGTGTAGGGGAGGGATGGTGCTACTTCAGAGCTCTTGCACCTATCAGATCTTACAGGGGTTTCCCCCCTTAGTGATTGCTGCATGGACACGAGTGTGCCATGTATGTGCATTCAGAGGCCAGAACAGGATGCTGGTTTCTTCCTGTTTTTTGTGCAATATTGCCTTGTGACAAAAGTCTCCCTGAACCAGTAGCTCAGTATTCCAAGTTAGTCTGGCTTTCCAGCCAGCTCTCAGGGTCTGCTAGTCTGCAGTCCCTAATACTGGAATAACAGGTGAGTTCCAAGAATAGCTAAGGCTACAGAGAGGAAAACAAAAAGCACACACACAAAAACCTACTTCCTAGACAACTCTGCATTTCAAGTCCTCTAGGCCTGTTCCTTTGAAGCTCTATAACCTTGGACTTACCTAAGATCAGTTTGCTCATCAGTAAAATAAAGACAGGTAAGTAAATTGCTAAATGGAGACTTCGGTTCATCAGGCATTCCATGAGTCAGTTCACTGCTATTGTTACGTGATTAGATTTATAAAGTGGTGAAATGTGGCTGAGAAAATAAGAAACTGAGTGCACTTTGCCCTGGCTCAGCCAGTGTGTGGTGGCACTATTCCAGAGCTGTGTCTTTCTGGGTTCAGTCCCACACTGTCACCACAGCCAGTTTTTCACTCTGAGCAAACCCTACCTTCTTCTGGTTTGGCACTTTGCCCTTGCTGTTAGAAAGGCCAAGAACTTTGATTTTGTTGTTTATTTTTCCTTAGCCTTTCTCCAACTTCCCTTGCTTTGGGCATGACTTCCTGGTGCTCGTTTCTAGTTGAATTTCCCTCCTCCAGTAAGTAACTGTTTAGCTGCCCTCTGACCAAGTCCCATCTTGCTCTGTTTCTTTCTGTTGTGGCCATCAGTTACAGTAGAGCTTTCTCATGTTTCCTTATTTATAATTTGCCCAAGAACTGGCTGACAGCTCTTTTGTCTCCTGACGCTTTTCATTGGAGACCCATACCTCTGGGTCTCAGCTCAGCAGGATTGATACGTGCTCGGTTAATGCTTAACTTTTTTAAACAGATGTTTTCACTTACATGCGCTTATTTTGTGAGTATGAAGGGAGACACCCGTGTAGAAATGAGAGGACAACTCAGGGAGTCCTTTCTCTACCATGTGGCTTCAGTGATTGAACTCATATTGGCAGACTTGGCCCTTAGCCTCTGAACCTTCTCACTGTATTACCCATGGCTGACTTTGGACTCCTGCATACACCTCCTCCCAAATATCACAATGACCTTGAACCCTTAATCTTGTTTCTCTAAAATGCTGGGTTTATAGGCACATGCCAACCACAGCTCACCCTGGCCTCTGGTTAGAACTCGGCCTTTTTCATATTCTTCTCTTACCCTGCTCCACCACATTCATTTGTTGACATCTTTGCTGTGTAACTCTCATCCTCATTTATATAATGGATACTCATCCTTGAAGCTTAGTCAGTGTGTGGCTCTTCCAGTGTCCTTTCTTAACCCTACCTCTAACCTCACCTAACATTAGATTTAAATGCCTTTATTTCTGTGTCTTATTACTTCTGAAAGGAAATGCCTATGTCAGCTTTTTCCTCTTATCCCCACTTCCTGACTCCATGGTCCTTCTCCATGTTGTCTTATTGTCATTGTGGGTTTGGTTTGGTTTGCCTTTAATCCTAGCACTTGGGAGGCAGAAGCAGGCTGATCTCTGTGAGTTCCAGGACAGCCAGAGTTGTTACACTGAGAAACCCCTATCTTGGGGGGGGGGGGCATGTTTTCTATGAAATCCCAAGTACTCCCAGGCCATTGGGTTTAGAAAGCCTTTGGGACTAATTTCCTCTTCTGTGACATGTTCATTCCCAAGATACATTTGCTCTTTTTGTTGGTCTGTTTGAGTAGCATTGTAACCCTTCTGATTTCTTCAAGGAAGCTGAGAGAAATTCAGGGTACTTTAAATTGGAGAGTGGGCTGGGGGTAGTGGTGTGTGACTTTAATCCTAGCACTCAGGAGATACAGGCAGGTGAATCTGTGTGAGCTTGAGGCCAGCCTGGTCTACATATGGAATTCCAGGCCTGCCAAGGCTACATAGTGAGACCCTATCTCAAAACACCAAAATAAAAGTAGATTGAAGAATTGGGGGGCAGTGCTGGGAATAGATCCCAAAGCTTTGTGTGCGCTAGATAAGTGCTCTGCCATTGGGACCTCTGCCCCATACTTTAATTATTTTATTGCATGCTTTTGACTAAAAGTAGTTGTTCCTTCCTTAAATCTCCAACTTAGTCAGGTGGGCAGCTCCACTGATAGTCTAAACATTTTTGTGTGTTTCATTCACCCCTTCCACCATAATAACTATCCAAGCACACACACACCCCATTTTACAGATGGGGGGGCTGAAGTCCCTCTGGAGAGACTTATACAGACATCCATAATGATGTTGGGCATAATGATTGAGCCTGTTTTCCTAAGCTTGGAGCTTCTTTCTCCAGGTCGTCCTCCCCTGGGTTGGGAGATGTCAATACACATCAGCAGAGAATAAACTGGTTAAGAGGGGACAGTGGTGGTGCAACCTTTAATCCCAATACTTGGGAGGTTGAGACAAGAGGATCTCTGAGTTCTGGTCTATAGAGTTCTAGGACTGTTAAGACTGTTACACAGAGAAACCCTGTCTTGAAAAATGGGGGGTGGGGCGGTGAGGAGGAGAACAATGGGAATGAACTGGAATCAGTGCCCTAACAGGGCTGGGAGAGCTTGCAGCACAAAGCTTATGGTTTGGGTTTGGTGCTTATCCCCCTCCCTCCAGATTCTGCCTGATCAATGCAGGAGTCCTGTACCTCTACTTCAGCAACTACCTACAAATCGACGAGGAAGAATATGGTGGCACGTGGGAGCTCACCAAAGAAGGGTTCATGACATCGTTTGCCTTGTTCATGGTATGTGCAGCTGGTGGTTTTATGATAGCCTCTGTTTGTTTTATGAGATGATAGCCACTCAGGGAGCACACTTATGCTATGTTGTTGGGCTGCTATTCTTTTCAGTAGCCCCTTGAGCAGGTCCTCCAAAAGATTCGGTCTGGGGTACTATACATTTGTGTAAATCCAGGGCCTACTATCAATTACATTTTAGAATGTTGTAATGTATATTTGTGGAGCTGGGTGTGTTCGTTCACAACTATAATAACAGCAAGGTGGATTGTATGTTTGAATTCAGATTGGGCTACATAAAGAGACCTTGTTCCCAAAAGGAAAAACCAACAATGTAAATAGATACGTGTATGTAAAATACTCACATTATTCCTAATAGGAAAAAGTCAACCACTCACATGGCTGTCATCTTAAGTGTCAAACGTTTTATATCCATACAGTAAAACATAACTTTCTGTGGTATTGCAGTATAGGTGAACCTTGAGAGCATACTAAGTGGAAGAATCTAGACATGAAAAGCTACATGATTCCACTTAGTGAAATGTCCAAGATATACAGGGTTATGGAGACAGAAAGTAGGTTATTGGTTGCCAGTAGGAGGGAGAAGTGGGAAATGATAAGGGACCATGGAAACAGGCCTTCTCTTTGGTGTGATGTTTTGGGATTAATGATACTTACTCTTTATGAGACTCAGAATTAGGCAATGCCATTTTCATGGGGGTGGGGCAGCTGTGTTGATCTAGGTGACAACATGAACATTGTTTGTGTCTCCCTTAGGTCATTTGGATCATCTTTTACACTGCCATCCACTATGACTGATAGTGTTTGCTCCCATCTCTTCTGTCCAATCCAAAGGACCCTTTTATTACAGTACAGATACATGCTTGTTGGGGCACTCCTGCCACGTGGAACTGAGAAGACCCATATCTCTTGGACTTAGAATCATCGTGTTGGGCATCGGTGTTTTCTGCAAGGGTTGTGAAACTTTTCAAAGAACCATCTACCTTTGAGGAAATAGTTGTGAATTTGTTTATCGCCGACCATTTTTTTTCTTGGACACCATCATGTAATGGCTGTTTGCCAAGTGGAGCTGCTGTCTAATCTTATGCGCCTTTGTAACAGCTGTTTGCCAAGAGGAGCTGCTGTCTAATCTAATGGCCCCTGGATCCGGATGAAACATGAAATTGTCTTCCTTAGTCCTCCGTCAGGTGCACAGTTTTTAAACTATCATTGGCATCTCAAGTCTTCTGGAAACACTATGTGCATGAGCCATTGCACAGTACGGGCAGCCATCTAATAAGTTTCCACTGTAGAGTGTTTTCGGATACTTGAATAAACAAGTCTAACTGAAAGTGTTGGCATGCCTGGTAAACTAAAATCTTGCTTAAACACCTGTACCCTCAGAACCTAGGAATGTTAGGCAGAATGCCCCCCCCCACACACACACACACATATCCTCCTCTGTCTCTCTGCTCCCATAGCAGCTTTGGCCAGGCCTCTTTCTCTTTTTGGCTGTCATGGGAAATGAGGGGCTGGAGTTGGTGATGGTTTTAGTGTGCCTTGGTATTAACATTGCGGAGAGGGTCTACTGCCTGATATCCTGGCTCAGCACCGAGAGAGGTGACAACTGGTCTACAGTGTGAGACTTAAACAGTGTCATTTTGTGTTTGGCTACCAGATAGCAAGACTGGGTGGGGTATGACTGGGTTGTGTTTTGGTGAACACTAAATGAAGTGTAGAGATCTGAGAGCTGGGCTGTCGAAAAAGGGACTTGATGTGAGGGTTCAAGGGGAAAATCTAGATGGTTGGTCTGTTCTACGTGGGATAAGGTTGGGGCTGCTGTGGTGGGCCATCAGGTGTTCTGCTTGTCTTTGCTTTCTGAGCCATCCTACCATCTGAGATGTGTTTGTGTTCTTAATGAGTCTTGTAAATTTCCCTAGTATTTTTTTTCTCTCTCCATGATAGTGGTGATCTCTGCCTTTTAGTAGGGCTGAGGAGCAGTCATAATGGGGGATGGGACACAGCAATCCTGCTGGACATCCCTCTCAGGAACTGACCTACGAAACCTCAGAAGTAATTTGCTCTCTGTAGAGGCCTGCCCCTGCTTTGAACTACACTGTACATGGACTAAAAGTTGAAGGCCATGGGAGGAGATAAATGACTTCTTACATTCTAGAGGGGAAGGAGCAGGAGGTCTAGGTGGGCCTCTGGATGTGCCTGCACCCCAGCCCAACCCCTCTGCATTCGCAGTCTTGCCTCTAAGGTGTTGCATCAGATTCGGCTGAGTTGGAGTCCTGGGAGAAGCAGCCTTGGTACCCCTTTCACTTTCTGCTTGGACTAGACGTCATCCAAGGAGTTATCCTCAGTCAGGCTGATGTAGGAACTGAGAGATTCTCGGAGCCCCTCACTGAGAAGAGATGCTTCCCCACTGGCAGGCGCTTCCAAAAACAGGGTGCTGTGGACAGGGAAATTGGGTAAGGGAGCCACTTCTGTGCTTGCCACACAGTTCACTACCCTTAGAACAGTACCGTGTTACTCCTGCTGACAAACTTGGGTTCCCCATTTCTTAACTGATCTAACTTCATCTTCACTTCCCTGCTCAGGATTCTGTTCACCCACTCTGTCCATCCTTCCTCTCACCTTAGCTGCCCAGAGGTTCATGCCTACCTTTTTCCTGATACTGCCTTGCCCTCACCACTACTCAAGCCCCGGCTGGGCTCTAAAAGGTATCCCTGGATGTAACAATCCAATCTGGGTCGTGAGTCCTTGTCTTGTTTTGCCTTCATGTTTCCAGGATTCCCCTTACCTGTCCAGCTCTTTCCAATTGAGTGATGCCGCCTGCACAGTCACAGGTAGAGGTGTATCTTTGCCAGGTAGTGGGCCAAGCTTCTGCAGGACACAGGGCTCCTTGAGGACACAGCAGATGTCATCCGCCAGCTCTATGGAAGAGACCCAAACCCTTGATGTGATACTTGACCTGGCAGTTTTCTGTGCTTTGCACTTTAGGGACATGGTCACCAAAACATAATATGAAGGGAAGTCTCATGCTATTGGTCTCAAACAGGCTGAAATATAATAAAACCTCAGCTGGGGCTAAGTTATGTAAAACTGACAAGAAGCCAGGCATTGGTGGCACACACCTTTAGCACTTGAGACGCAGAGGCAGATGGATCTCTGAGTTTGAGGCCAGCCTAGTCTAAAGAGCTAGTTCCAGGACAGCCTCCAAAGCAATACAGAGAAACCTTGTCTCGAAAAACAACAAAAAAACCTGAGAAGAAAAGCAAGCTAAGTGGTCAGTCTGTGACCCAATCATCTACTGTGGAAAACAACCTTGTAGAAATCCCTAGTCAAAGAAGTTAGCCCCCCCCCACACTTTTTTTTGGGGGGGGGGGAGACAGGGTTACTCTGTAGATCAGGCTGGCCTTGAACTCAAGAGATCTGCTTGCCTTTGCCTCCCGAGTGCTGGGATTAAAGTGTACCACCATACCCAGTAAGCTTTTCTTTTCCTCATTGACACTGTCTTCGTTACATGGTTGGCACCAGAAATGTTAAAGATTGTATTGCACCCAGGAACATCACAATCTGGTTCCCGCGAAGAGAACTGTCCACTTTAGGGCACTTTTCGGCACCACCATTATGGTGGTGAATTTTGGTCAAGCTCACAGTTGGCCTCTAGTTAGCTCTTTGTCAGCCTGGGATGGAGACAGCTCTCATCTACATCTCAGCACAGTGACTGCATAAGGACAGATGGAGGATGCTCCTCTCTTGTCTAGATAGCCCAGCAAATCAAGGTTCTAAAGGCACAACTGGCTCCCCCCTAAGCCCTTCATCCAGTCTACTGTGGAGGCAAAAAAGAAAAAGCCATACCAGAGTAATGGTCCACCAGGGCCTGGAGTGAGGGGAAGGTGAGGCGTGGTGAGATGTACAGCCAGCCATTGTCAAGGCACTGTATCCTGTAGTGTCTGATCCGGTCCCAAGATGCAGGGCGGCTGAGTCGGATGGACAAGGAATAGCAGCCTGAGGAGGAAAGGGTCCAGGGATAGATCTGAGGCCCTGCTGGAGGCCTAGCCCAGCCTTCAGGGAGGTGTTCAGGTCAAAGGCAAGACAGATCATTAGCTGTGTTAGATAAGATTCTATGGTCCTCAGGATGGGTGAGGTGTAAATGAGCATAATATTGGCTGTATAGGTAAAGACTCAGGTGGCAGAAGGGTTAGGATGTGAAAATGTGTCAAGTAGATGTCAACATGGCCATAGAGCGAAAACCACTTTGGAAACAGTTTGGCATTAACAGTTGAGTTATTCCTTCAAACCAGCAGTTCCATCTCATACATGGGGAAAATAGCTGTGCTTTCAATAAACATTACATTCACTAACAGCCAGTTTGAGCTCAATAGTACAATAAAGTGTGGAGGTTGTAGCTCAGTGGTAAAAGCATTGGCCTACGGTAGTCTCATTACCTCACACAAAGTACAATGGTACCTTATAGGATGCAATGCTAATTACATAGCTGTGAGTGCTGATATATACCTGCATGATTTGAGGCCAACCTCAGCTGTATGAGACCTGAGCAGCAACAAGTCACAGAGTGTACATTTGGTAGGAACAGCCAAGGGTGTTACACAGAAACACAAGGTTTTGAAGAGGCAGTTGCTCAAAGCCAGCCTGGTCTGTGTAATGAGTTCCAGACTAGCCAGGGCTATATAGTAAGACTGCCTCAAAAATAAAAGTTAAGGCCAATCCTAAGGAACTGCTGCACCCTGCCAGTTCCAAGACATGTTTTATAATGCAGGCTGCCTGGGTTTCAGTCTTACACAGCCACATTCTGTAGAACTGCCACCCACACCCACCACCTGGCCACACAGGTCCTTTTTTTTTAAACTGGTGAAGGGGGCTACCGATTACCCTGATCTCAACAGCTGTGCGCATTCAGGTGGTGAACCATATTTGGCATGCAGCAAGCTCCCAGTGAGCATTTTCTGAACTCTGGTCCTGTGTCCCTGCTGTTCCTCTGTAGTAATTAGAATAGGAATGGCCCCCATAGGCTCATGTATTTGAATGATTGGTTATTAGGGAGTGGTACTATTAGGTGGTCTTACCTTGTTAGGGGAGGTGTGGCTTTATTGGAGGAAGTATGTCACTGGGGATGGGCTTTGGGGTTTCAAATGCTCAAGCCATGCCTAGAGTCTCTTCCTGTTGCCTGCCAACCCAGTTGTAGAACTCTTAGCCACCTCTCCAGCACCATGTCTGCCTGTATGCAGCCATGCTTCCCACCATGAGAATAATGAACTCAATCTTGGAACCTGTAAGCCAGCCCCAATTAGATGTTTTCCTTATAAGAGTTGTCATGGTCATGGTGCCTCTTCACAGCACTAGAAACCCTAAGAAACCCTAAGATGTCTTTCTGTGCAGAACATTCTCCTACCTGCAAGAAGCACACCTCTGTTTAAAGAAGGAAGCCTCCTGAGGGATGGGTCCGATTTATCCTCCCATCTCCCATCTTCATAGACAGCCTTCTTCCATCCATCTATTCCTCCATCCATCACTAAACCCCACACTCTGGAGTCATTGACTGTTTCCTCTCACACTGTCATGATTTGGATCTGAAATACCTTCACAAAGCCTGGTAGTGAAGGTATGGCTGCAGTGTGGCAGTATTCAGAGGTGGGGCCTTTGGGAAGTGATGGGATCTTGAGGGCTCAGCCTATCCCAGCAAGCTTTTCTGTTCCCTGACTGCCACAAAGCGAACAGCTTTCTCCACATTCTTTCACCATGAGGCAAATTACCTTGCCACAGCCTAAAAGAAACCTGAAACCTTGAGCCAAGATAAACCTTTTCCTCTGAGTCAGCAACGGAAAGCTACCCTGTCAGAAAGCCCTACTGGCAGCTGTGTGGTGGTGGTGCACATCTTTAATCCCAGCACTCAGAAGGCAGAGACAGGTGGATCTCTGTGAGTTCAAGGCCAGCCTGTTCTACAGAGAGAGTGCCAGGACAGGCTCAAAAGCTAGACAGAGAAACCCTGTCTCGAAAAACCAAACAAAAAAGCCCTACTGGTTATGTTCAGAGCACACCTAGAATCTGACATCCCAACCAGGCAGAGCTTGTGACTGTTGCCTGTGTGGCTTCCCACTTCCAGTTTGTCACATGCAGCAGTAGGTCACTCCTCTTTGGAGCCCTCCCAGTCACACTGGTAAAATCCTCATCACCTTTGAAAGGCTCTGCAGAATCCAACCTCTCCCTGGACCTGTTCTAGTCTCACTGGCTCTAGACTAAGAAGCCCTTCTTCCTCAAGGCATATGCACACTCACCCCACAGACACACCCTCGTTTGTACTTTAGTATGCTGGGTACTTTCTTACACACTTGTCCACTTTGCAATTGAGACTGTGGCTGGGATCTTGCTTTTCATACCTTGGATCTTGGGTGTCCTATTGGTTGATTAATTGGTTGGGTTTTTTGTTGTTGTTTTGTTTTGTTTTGACAGAGGCTCACAGTGTAGCTGCATCTGGCCTTGAACTGTGATCCCCCTCCCTCAGCCTCCCAATGCTAAAATTATACTGAGCCATCTGAAGACTTAACTACCCTTGTATTTCTTGTACAAAACACACATTGACCATTTGCCCCTATTGGCTCTTCGGGAGCCAGACCCTTGGCTTAGGTGTACATAGGCCCAGCTGTCTGAATGGGTATGATGGAGCAGGTGGTGTGGGAGGCAAGTTTGGGCCTGTTTTGGACAGTCTGGTATTAAACATGGCCCTCTCCTTCCTGTCTGGGAGGCACTTTACTCCCTATTCTGCCTACCCAAGCAGACTCATTCATTTCTCCAACAAACATCCGCTGAGCCCCTACTACACTGCCAGACGCTGCACAGGCCCAGACATAGGTGCAAGGGATGGCAGATACAAGTATCTGCCAGGCCATCTCCTTACAGGGGTTGTCCTTGGTGGTCCTCACTGGACAATGAGCTCCTTGTTCTCATAGAAATTTCAATTTTGTTACAAGAAGCCAGTTCACTGCAGCTGCAAGGGAGGATTGTTCAAGATGTGGGAGTTTTGAAGAGCAACAAATAGCCTGGGGAGGTGATAATGGTTCAGACCATGAAGGATGAGGTGGGGCTTTCCAGGCTGGGGAACTGGAAAAAATGAGGCATGTTCTCAGAATAGCAGTGGAGCTAGAGGGCACAGAGGGCCTAGAGAGGACCTCCAAGACCAAAGGCAGTGTAGGTAGGTGGTCCTGGACTCTAGGATGCTCTAGCAGGCTTAAGTATCCACACCCAGAACTTCCAGGGTTGGGCATTCCAATGGTGCCGGGAGAAGTAAGGAATATGCCATCAGGATATACCTGGAGAAATGCCTGCAGACGCTGCCTGCACTTTCTCCCCTGAGTCCACCTAGAAGCCACTGGCCTAAGAGATGAGCCGTAGGCCCTTCTACCTGCAGCCAGAGACCAGGAGCCAGTGTGGGAAGTGTGGCTTGGCCAACACTGGGGGAGTGCTGCCCACCCGAGAGTGAGCAGAGCTGAGGCCCTGGGTGGAGGCCGCATCTTCTCACTTATCCATCTCCCTTACTGAATCCAACACAAGCAGGGCTCAGGGTGACAGCAGGAGTGGGAAGGAAGGAATGCTGCTTGCTGGAACCTGTCCTTACCCCGGCACAGCTCTCTGAAGCAGTCCTGTGTCCTGTGCAGTTTTTAGGACCTCCTTCATAAAGCAATGCTTTGGGGCCAACTCAAGCCTGGCTCTCCCCAGGCCTAGAGCATGGCCAGGGAAGCTACAGGGACTCTGAGCTGATATGGAGGGTGGCTGAGGATGTTCTGGATAGCTCAGGGCTGTAGGCTTTCATGGTCCACAAAGGCTCCACCCCTCTGGAATCCCAGCCGCGGAGTTACACTGGACTCTGGGTTCAGGCTGACCCTGGACTACTCAGGTGGAGGCAGGAGCATCACAAGGCCTGCCTGGGCTACAGAATGAATTCAAAGCCAGCCTGAAGAACTTAGTGAGATACTGATCCAAAAGTATCCTAGGTCTGGGTTCCATACCCAGTACTGCAGAAAAAGAGAAAAGATGTCCCTGATGTCACCCAGCCAGTGGTTACAGCGTCATATGAGACAAAATGCACAGGATATAGAAAATATAAATCTCTCCCTCCCTCCCCCCACACACATGTGCGTATGCACACACGCACGCACACACATACACACACACACACACCACTGATCTACAGGCAACATGACTTCTCTAATACTTCCTTCTGGGTTGTCCTCTATCACTTTGAAAGAACAGAGAACTACCCAGAAAGGGAGGCAGATTTCTGGTCTCAGCACCCAGTAGGTCTCTGGTGGCAAGATCTGGCACTGTCACCAAGTCCAGAGCATCCCAGTGACTCCTGTGTATTAAGATCAGAGAACTGGCACTCTGTGACATCAATCTGGACCCTAGAACTTAGTATCAATTTTTAGTTTTGGGCCCAGGAACCACAGAATAAAAATTCACAGCTGCCCGGTGGTGTCGCACACCTTTAATCCCAGCACTCCAGCACTTGGGAGGCAGAGGAAGGTGGCTCTGAGTTCAAGGCCAGCCTGGTCTACAGAGCAAGTGCCAGGATAGTCTCCAAGGCTAGACAGAGAAGCCCTGTATCAAAAAAACAAAAACAAAAAAATTCACAGTCACCCAAGATATACTTCTTTAAATGTCTGAAGCAGATCTGACCCCCAGGACCCCTAACCCAGCACACACTGGGGTTTCTTGCTCTACTTCACTGTGAACATATGAGGAGTCTCACCTCAGGGCATTCTTCCAGTCCCTAGGGCACGTTCCTGATCAGTTAAATCAGAATCTCAGCTTGGTGTGCAGACATCCATGTTACAGGCTTCCCCAGTGTACAGCGAGCTCCTCGGGCCAACAGTGTAAGAGAGAAGCCTGTTCAGCCCCGCGTCAGACTTAGCATGCTGGGCGTGGAGTAGCTGCCTGCAGGCAGTTCTGTTGCTTCCCTGGACAGAGACCCAGGGGTCTGTAAGCGATGAACTAAAGTGATCTCTTTGCCCTTCATCTTCCTGTCCAAAGGAAGCCTTGGGAGGCTGCAGTCATGTCTGGTAGACACCAGACATGCAGCATGGGAAATTTTTGTTTGTTTTGTATGTGTAAACTAGCAAGCCCAGGGGTCCTCCTGTCCTGCATCTCCAGTACTGAGATTACACACATACACCACCATGCCAGACTTTTTACATGAGTGCTGGGGCTCCAACTCAGGACCTCATAATTGCAAAGCAAACACTTTCTGAGGCACTTTCCCAGCCGCTCTTACTTTTATTATTTTAGGTTGTCGGTGAGGGCCTTACTCTGTACCTCTGGCTAGCCTGGAACTCACTACTAGCCCAGGTTGGTCTTGAACTCCTAGGTGATCCTCCCGCCTCTCCTTGTGAGTGCTGGGTTAGTGCACTACCACTCCCAGTTTCACCGAGGAGGTCTCATCTCATGCAGAACACCTTTGCCTTGAACTCTACGAATCTGAAAGTGATTGAACGCTTGCTCCTCTGGGCTCTGTCTCCCAAGTACTGGGATTACTGGCATGCACCATGTGCTCTAACTCAGGGTCTTCTGTTTCTGACAAGAGTAGAGTTGCTTTCTGATCAACCCTTACTAGGTGCTGGCAATAGACAAGCTGGTCCCACAATTCCTGTGGGTCCTTCCGAGTCCATGAAGAGCTTCACAAATCTCTCTTGGCTTCTCCATGAATTTCCCTTGTATATACTCCTCTTAATCAAAGAGTACAATAATGGCACAAGGGATGGTCACTATCTCTTGGAACTGTACTGGGCCACAGGTGGGGTGGGGTGGCTAAGCACTGAGTACTTTCTGTGGTTTTCTAGCTCACCAGTGGTAGGTCTGCAGGGTTCCTGTCGCAGTCACCACCACCGAGGTTTCCTGTTTGCAGCTGCTGCACTGGAACCAGCTGCACCACCGCAGCAGTCAGGCATTTGGGGCGGGGGGCACTGATGTTTCTTGGAAATTAGCAAGAGGGCCTGGGGAGAGGTTGGTCTAGGAAGCTTCTGAGGGATGTGCATGCAGGGTGGGGTACACAGCGAGGACCCTGACAGCCCGTCCAGTAAGCTCAGCCAGGGCAGACACAGGAGACCTGTCACTAGAAAACTGTTAGTTTTTACCCTTGAGGTCTTTCTTGGGTGCCTGAATTGCCATGAACGTTTTCCAAGAGATCATATCATGTCCTGTCTTGTAAAAGGGAAGAGGAATCACCATTGCTGGTCAGAGTAAATCTCAGGTATTTTTTTTTTTTGTTTGTTTGTTTGTGTTTTGTTTTTTAAAACAGAATTTCTCTGTGTAACAGCTCTGGCTGTCCTGGAACTCACTCTGTAGACCAGGCTGGCCTGGAATTCAAGAGATTCACATGCCTCTGAGTGCTTGGGATTAAAGGCCTAGCATTCTCAGTTGTCAAAATAAAGATTAAGCTTGAATCCCTTCAGTGAATTCACACCCGCTTTGCTCTGTTGTCCAAGGGCCCTCATGGAAGCAGCGGCTCAGCTCCAAGCCTAGGTACCCACACCACAAAGTCTCCCTTTGGTTACTCCAGGTAAACTGTCTTTCCTTTGCCCGCATAGCCTGGCTCCACCTCAGGGCCTTTTCCAGTCAGGGCCTGGCTGGACTCAAGAAAGTTCTGCTGACTGTTAGGAGTCTATCCTGAGCTCCACTCTGGAGAGCTTTGTGGTGGGAGCTGAGTTTACCCACCTCTCCTGGTCTGGCTCTCTCTGATAAGGAAGGCCCCTCCAGGGTTCCCAGGCAACAAGAGTAGTTCCTCAGCTCTTTCCCGGCTCAGGCCCTCATACAGCCACCTGGGGGAGCAAGGAGAGGGTACAGGGTAAGCTTGTGGGCTTTAAACGAATCCTTCTATTAAAAGAATGTAATATGCCTCCGTATGACCTTGACAAACCCTCTGGGCCTGCCTTGCCCTCTGTACCATGAAGAGCAGGCCTCAGAGGCTCAGATATCCCCTCCAGCTTTGTTGACTGACTCCAGAGACTTTGGGGACCAGCCTTATGAAGGCAGCTTCAGGCTTGTTTGCCTGGAGACTTCATTCCCAAGTGTCTGGGGTGGGGGAAGGGGGCATTACAGGCTGCCCCAGCCTCAGTCATCACTGCCCAGCCCTCCCTCCTCCAGCCCCACTGCCGATCCACTCACTCTTGTGAGAAGTCTCTCTCGTTTTCCCACTTCAGGATGTCCTTAAAGACTGTGCCTGACTCCTATATGTCCCCTTTGGTGTTCTCTACTTGATCCTGGCCAACCTTCGAAGCCCCACACCACAACACCTCCTCTATGGGGCCTTTTCTGAGCTCCCAAGTCTCATGGGCTGAACAAGACTTGACAGCTGTCTGCTCCTTTGCAGGTCAGGACCCAGGCTCTGTTCAGCTTGTGGCTATGCATGAAGAGAACACTGTGGGAGAGTGTAGGAAGGTCCTCAAGGTGGGCTGGGCTGCGCACTCACCCGTGGGAGACTTTAGCCACATGAACACTGGGGATGTGATACTCTCTGCCCGAGACTTCCGATATGACTGTCCACCAATCTCCATCCCTGTTGAGAGATCACAGAGGGCCACCTTCAATTGGAGTTTGCAGGGGCTTTCTCCAGATGGAACCTACAGCACCTTCTCTACTCATTTCCCAGAACTCCCTACATCAGCTAATCCAGGTTCCTCCTCAGGTGAGGGCCTGGCAGATGGCAAATGGTCCAAGGCTTCTTGTTCCAAGGCTGGGCCCCGCTGCCTCTCTCCCTATGAGTGAGTCCAGCTGCCAGAAAATCACCCAGACACATGGTCACATGCAGGCCTTTCAAAAGCAACCCTGTTCCACCTTCCTGCTGGTGGTGGAAGTGCCCCTTCTCCCACAATGTGACCTCAGAGCCCCAGGGTTGACTTACTCAGAGACGATGGTCAGCGGCTCCCCAAGTCTCAGAGACAGTCCTGTCTGCTCACCTGCTGGAAAACTGCCCAGGGCCACAGCTGTGACCTTGTTTCTCTCTAGAAAAAGGCGTAAACAAACTTACCCTCTTGGCCAGTCCTCCCTCAAGGTGTGAGCTAGTTGATTCTTGTCTTGGTTTGGTTCCCCTCATATACCTGTCCCACAGGCACCCTGAAGGGAGTGGGGTAAACCCTAATCTGAAATGTTCCCAGCAGGCTCTACAGAACCTGGGAGAGTCCAGATAGCTTTGGGGGTTCCCAAAGGCCTTCAGGGTATGTGGCTAGAGGACCAGGGTCCTGGCCATGCCTTTCTGTATGTATAACTTCTACAGAGACCTCAATGAAGGGATGATATAGCTGGGAAACTAAAAACCTACACGGGCTGAGGATGTGGCTTTCTACAACAGTACTTGCCTAGAATGTGCAAGGTCCTGGGTTCTATCCAGCCCCACAGCAAAACAAAAGAAAACCCACCCCAGCTAGAAGCTCATATCAGCATGATCTGAGTGGGCCTCTGAATGATAGTGGTGGGGCCACATAGTAGCTCTAACAGCTCGGCCTGGGGCCCCAGGAATGGGGGCATAGCTAGCACCAGCACTGACATGTGCTGTCAAGAGACAGAAAACAGGGTCTGTGAGCTGAGGGTAGCCTCCCTCTCCAGGGTGGGTTCTTCCCATACACCTGACTCGTGTCCTGTCCTCATCAGGCCCATGGAGAGAAGCATATGTGAGCAGGCTCTGTAACTCTAGAGCACTGTGCACAGGCATAGGTTGAACTCCCAGTGGCCTATGTCCCTGGCATTGAGTGAAGGCATGTGCTGCCCCTGCGATGCCACCAGAGGCTGCTATTGCAGGCCTGGCCGGGACAAGTGCCCTATGGGAGCATGTGACTAAGGGTCCTGCTAACTCTGACTGTACCCTACACATGGGGCCCTACTGGGGTCTTCTGTCACCTTACTTCTTACTGGGCCCTTACCACTGCCCTGATGTTGTTGTGTCTAGTCATCTCCACTGTGCAGAAAGGTCTCAAGGCCCTGATGTGGCACTCAGCAAAGGGAGGGGCATAATTCCAATTCCATACCACTCGGTTCACAGTCCCAGGCTGGGGAAGAGGGGAGGGTGAGGGCTGGTTGAGAGCTATACCTCTCAGGAAGGTACCTCTTTGCCTTCCTGAGAGGCAAAGGTCCCCTAGAAATGGTCATGGGGACTCAGTGGATATGATGTCCAATTCGGAGGCAGGGCATCAGGTAGCAAGCAGAGGACTCATTTTCCTCACAATCTAGCAATCCCTCCTAAGCTTGCAGGACCTGCCATATTGGTTGAAAACTAATTCACCCAACTCATCTCTCTTTCCTTCCTCCTGCCTTTCTCAGTAAGGGCCCCCAAAAGAGAGACTTGCTAGCACATGTGTGCAGTATGCCAGGAAAAGCAGTCAAGGTCAACAAGGATTCTTTGTCTCTTAAGGAGCTCCCAAAGCACCAAGGTCCCACAGGACTCTGGGATGCTGTCATGAGGGAGCTGAGATTCAGGGTTAGGGGAGGGAGAAGGCAGACATACAAGGGTCCAGGAAGTAGGTAAGGGCTGAAGGGTCTCTGCTGATGCTAGGAAGGCATCCCTTTGGCATCTTCCCGCTTAAAAGGTTAGTAGAAACCCTCACAGCTGGAAGCTCTGCAGGTGGGGGGAGGGCAGGTGTTGCCTGCCCAGAGCCTGGTGTCCCTGCAGCCAAGAATGCCTGGTCCTCCTCCTAAGGAGGTCTCTCCCATAAGGGTGGAACAAAGAAGCCTGGCCGGTTACTTGTCCTCCTAAGAGCTGTTGCCTTGCATGCCTGGCGGGCAGTATCCCATAGCTCCCTCTGGCCCAGGGGCCACCTTCACATTTCCTGTCTTCATACAGCACTCTCTCATCCCTGCAACACTGCCACAAAAGCAACACAATATCCACTTATAAGGGCTTAGCGTCTGTCTCTGGGGGAGGGAAGGACCTATCTTGTCCGTTGTTGTGTCTTCAGCTCCTGTCACATGGCTTGGTACCTGGCAGAGCCTCAGTAAGCTTCAGATGGAGCCAGGCATGGGGGACAAATGGCTTCTAGACTGGGCTAGTGAAAACTCATATTACCCTGGAACAAGGCTGGCCTCCTTTCCTCGGGACCTGATGTAGGGAGAAAAGATCCCTGGAGCCCAGGTACATCTTCCAGGGGTGGTCACCACCCCCAGAAGCACCCCAGGATGACTCAGCAGCCGGCCACCTGCCTCTAGCTCGCTAGCTCAGTGGAAAAGAAGGCGGTCGGTGTGGTTTTCAGGGTTCTTCCTACAGGTCTCTCACTGCAGATGAGGGGGTGCTCAAGGTGTCAGGGCCCTGTGGAGGCTGGTATTAGGGAGATAAGAGGCTTCAGTGCAGAACAGGAAAAGAAACCCTGCCCCTTTAAGGGATCTGGGGGCTGACAACCAAGAGTTTTTGTCCAAGCCTATATGTCTAAACATCTCAGCTCTGTACTCTCTAGTGTAGGCTACTTAATACTCCCAGCACCGCTTCTAACAGTGCAGCTGGGTTTGGAAGGCCTTGTTATCTGTGATGACTAATTCTCTAGACCACCATGGCTCCACACAGCATTTAGATAGCATTTGGTCAAACCAGTCTGGATATTTCTGTGAAGATAGTTGTTAAACAAGGGAATCCCCATTTTGAAATTAAAGACAGGCTCTTTTGGTGTAACCCAGGCTATACATAAGCCCACACCTTCTCTTCTCTTCACCTTCTAAGTGAAGGGGACACAGGCTTGTGTTGCTGCAGCTAGCTTGATGCCCCACTTCAAACACATTTCTGTGCACGTGCTGGAGACCTCAGGCTCTCTCGTACCACCTTGACTCTAATCCTGGACTCCACTTCCAGCCCCTCATTTTAATGTTCTCACCACTATTGCGAATTCAGAAGCCTGGAGCTTCTGGCTCACTGGGAAGGGTAGTCATAGGCTCTCATTGAAGTGTGAGGTTCTGTTGGGGTCATTGGCCAAAGGCCTAGAGGTGATAAGCTCTCGGTCTCTAGAGCAGGGAAGGGCCTGGTGGCCCCATAGACATGACTTACCTGCGTGTGTGGACACAGGTCCCTGGCCCAGACCAGAGGAACTGGGGTTGGAGCTTGGGCTGGAGAGGCTTTTTCTTCTGCTGGGCAAACTTCCCATCATTCCTCAGCAGACTCTCAGAGGCACATTACTGAAAGAAACCCAAAAGGGTGCTGCTCTAGGGACACAGCCTGTGATCCCAACGTAGATTCAGACACTTGGCTCTCACAGGAAAATGACCTGGTTCATCAGGGCCATTGAAAAGTCAAGCATCTCTGGGTCTGGCAGCATCTACTACTTTGGACTGATTGACAAAGATACCAAGCTGAGGCTTCAGGAAGTATCCCATCCGTCCTAGGCAGTGGCCATGCTCCATTCAAGTCTTCTGGACATTTTCCTGTGTCCCCCTCCTATGAGCCAGCCCTTGTGTCTGGCCCCCACCCTTCCTCAGGAAGCTTCCTAGGATCTTCAGCCTTTGCTGATCCTCCTTTGAACTCCTGAAGAACCATTCCTCAGGCCTGGGGTCACATTCTGCTAGCTGGTGGCAGGGATAGTGGCAAGACCTGAGCTCTCTGCAGGCATGTCAGGGACCATGGCTAGGGTTAGAGATGGGTCATGGAGGAGCCAAGAGGCCTTGGAATGGGAGACCCAAGCAGAGGTGACAATGAAGTCACTGGTGCCAACAGCTGGGAGTCTGTCAGTCTATGTGACATAGCGGTGGTGGCTTGCAAGGCTCTGAGGGACTGACTGGTCACTTCCATTCTTGGTGCCCCTTTCCTCATCTGAGAAGTGGGGATAACCACACCCAACATTTGGGCATGGTAGATAATGCCCTGGAAAGCCAGCCCTGGGGCCATACTTCCTTCCTGGTTTTGAATATCGCTACAAATTCTTCCAGGAACTCTTCCTTTCCCACTTATTCTGCCGTGTTCCTTAGAGTGTTTGTTGCTGTTGTTTTGCTTCTTGTTTTTATGAGAGTAGGAACTGAGGACTATGCTCCCTAGGTTGTCCCCAAACTCTCGGGCTCAAGTGATCCTCTTCTTCCTAGCCCTGTGACTGCCACCAGGCTCAGTCAGAAGATTTCTTCAGTCTGCCACTACCCTACAGTTCCATGCCTTGTCCTCAGCATTGAGGTTCACCGAAGGCACTTGACACATATCAACAGAATGAACCAAAGTGAGTAGAGTGATTTGCACGGTGTCTTGTCCTCAGACTACGCAAACCCTCGGTTTCTAGAGAAATGCTTAATTTCCAAGACTACATTAAGTGTTTCTGTGAGGGGGGCTGGCTCTCTAATCTTTTCAGATGCTCTCATTGTTTTCAGTAGGACAGGTACAATTTCACCTGTTTGGTTCCATTCGATAGTCATTCACTGAGCTTGTGTTCTGTGCCAGGCACTGCCACAGGTTCACCGTTGAAAGGAGCATCTCACAGACTAGCACGGTCCATTCCTTGCTAGTGAGCACCTCCCCTACTCTAGGGTCACAGGCTGCCTGGATGAGGGTGTTGTTCATCAATGGCGTGGGATGACATCCATGTTCTGGACAGTCCCCACTGAGTGGACCCAGTCTTGCTGGGAGGACCACTCCTCTGTGCCAGCCCCCACTCCTCTGCCCACCTGTCCTGCAGCCCCATTCTATCAACTGAACACACAGTGCTCTCTCTGCCTCTGTGAAGCTCAGAGCCACACACAGAGCTCAGGAGCACCAAGCAGGCTGGCGCCCCAGGACTGGCTCTGGACTGCCCCTTCCTCTCAGACTCGGTGAGGGGGGTGATTCTGCTGCCTCCTGAGGGCCGGGATTTGCTCACTCCCAGAGCAATTCTCCCAATCAGCTGGCCATGAGTATGAGGTCCAAGCTAAGTGCTTGGCTTTATGCCTGCCGTGGACAGCATGGGTGCCTAACAGAGCAGCAGTGTGGCCGCAGGGGACGCACGCAGCCTGTAGTGTCTCCTGTAATGAAGGGCTCCACGGGGCTGAAGGGAGCTCTAGTTCAGCAAGTCCACAGCCTTTAAGGCCCCTTGGGCCATAAGGGACCTGCTCTTTGCTGGACACTTCTCCAGGGCTCTGCAACTTTCTCTTCCTGGTCTGGCCAAGGCATGGTCACTGTTGGGGAAGATGAGGCCCAGGCAGTGGCAGTGAGACTGAGGATAAACAGGTGTTGGCCACATTTGCAGAAGCGGTCAGATCATTCGGTACATGTCTGAGAAGCGTACAATGTGCTTCGGCACTGTCTGCAGTGTCCCAGGGAGTGGCTGGGCAGTGTTGGTGAAAGGCAGCCAAAAATGCACAGTGCCCAGGCTGCTTTGTGTCTCTAATCCCATTTTCATTGCGATGGCCACATCTGGAGAATACAGCCACCTCTTCTAGAGGACAGCTGGCTGCTGCTCAGGCAGCAGGATGGACAGTGCAGAGCTAGGATGGCCACCTTGTCTTGGGATTTTGGGTTTGGTTTTGTATCTGGGAACAGAGTTCAGGGGCTCAGTGATCTTTAACCCCAGCCCTACCCACTTTCAAACTGAGACTCTCACCCTGTGAGAGCATCGGAGATGCCACAGATGACTGTCTCTGGAGAATAATCTAGGGTCCTTTCATTTCATGATCTCTAAGACTGTGGCCCAGGAGAAGCCGATACTCCACATGGAAAGTAGGTAGCACAGGAAAGGCCAGCAGAGTCTGTTAGGTGCACAGGCCTATCTCTGAGGAAGTCTAGAGACCTCCTGTCCAGTTACTAGTCGTCCTCCCGGAGCCTAACTCCAAACCTTTCCGTCTCACCTGTCCCAAGTCCACCAGAAAACAAAGCAAGCATACTTACAGGTTTGTCATGGGAAGTTCGGTGAGGGCACTCAGCCAATTCGCACGTTGGCCTGACAGGTCAAGCCTTGGCAAGTACTAAGTTAGTTGTCATCTTAAGTACTAGCACATTCTCATCTCAGCCTGTAGGATCACCAGAAGCATTCTGAGTAAGCTTGTTAGCAGACAGCCAGCTCCACGATACTGGGTCAGGAGCCCTTTGCTTCTACGGGAAACCAGATCAGGCAGTCCTAACCAGCACTGTGGCCAGAGAGTGAGGCCCCAGATCTGAGCCCTTTGTAGACACAGGTGCCACTCCTCAGAGCTCCAGCTCCCAGCTGCAGACTCTGTGGTTCTTACAGCCCCACAGCCTCCCCGCCTCTGTTTCCTCTGACGGCATCATCGACTATGGAGGCACCGCATTGCCCCTTTCCTGTTCTAGAAAGGAGCTGCCCCTCCCATCCTCATATTGGTGGTCTTTCTTGGCTTTTTGACTCCTTCTGGTCCAAGGAATAAAGAATGAGGGGGGATGAACAGGAGTTTCCCCTGCAGGCCTCTCCACAGTAATCACCAGAGCTCTCAAGCTTAGCAATTCTACATCCAAATATTCAGAGAGGAAGTCTAGGCATAGGAATCACCTGGGACCTTGTTCAACTACAGACTCTGAAGTGGGACTCATTTCTGGGCCAGCATGAAGGCTCAGTGGGTAAAGATGCTTGCCACCAAGCCTGATGGCCCCAGTTCAATCCTCAGGATCCAGTGGTGGAAGGAGAGAAAGAATTTCTGGAAGTTGCTTTCTGCATATGGCCATACCACCCTGAATACACCAGATCTCTGAGAGTCGCCTCCTGACCTCCACTCAAGCACAGCAATAAACAATAATAATGGCATCTCTAACAAGCTTATGGGTAATGCCCATGTTGTTGGTGTAGGAACTACATTTTAAAAGTTCAGATTTGGGGCTGATTCCTGGCTTAGAAGTAGACATGAGCTTATTGTGTTCTAGGTTTCAGGTTCAAACCCAAGTACTTAAAGGAAAACTCTAGAGTACTTCTCAAAGGATGGTTCCAGCAGCCACTGAACCGCTTCCCCCCCCCCGCCCCCGGAGTCTGTTAGGTGCACAGGCCTATCTCAGCCCTACGAAGTCAGAAACTCCATGGGAGGGCTTGGCATTCACGTTTTACAAGGATTTCAGGTGATTCTGCTGCATGCTCAAGCTCGAAACTCACAGGCGTGTGATGAAATAATGTTTATGATCTAATAAAGCTTGCCTGGAGATCAGAATGCAAAGCTAGCCATAGCCATAGAGGCCAGGCAGTGGTGGAACACACCTTTATTCCCAGCAGCCACACTAGATAGCCATAGAGGCTGGGCGGTGGTGGTGCTCGCCTTTAATCCCAGCACTAGAGAAGAACATAAGACAGGAGCTCAGGGTCTCATGAGGCATTCAGTCCCCAGCCCCAGCCTTGGGAGAGGTAGGAGCTCTCTAGTGCTGGCTGCTTTGCTTTTCTGATCTTCAGCTTGAACCCCACAGGTGTCCTTTCCAGAACTGACAGAATTCCCCTGACTGTGTCCATTAACAGTGAGCACACCTGCCTACTATCTTCTCCTTAGCGGCCACTCTTTAACACAAAGACCCACTGAGCTCCAATGCTTGAGTGAGCTCAGGTACCACAGCCTTTCCTGGGAATTTTGTCTCCCCTTGCTCCTGAGGAGGCTGGCTGCCTCTTCAACACTGCTCTGGAAGCATATTCTCCGTAGGAAGGTTACTTACACTGTTGTTGGAAGGAAATTAATGTGGATGCCAAAGCTGACCACCCGAGTTCAATCCCAGGGGTGGAAGAAAAGAATCAGTTCATGAATGTTGGTCTCTTACCTCTACCCATGCACTCACACTCATACACACTAAATAAATAAGTGTGAAAATAACTTTAAGAGACATTGAAATGTTATAGCAATGGCATGGGTATGGTTCTTAGTAGGTAAAAGGGCTATGTGGAGAGAATGGTAAATCCAGGCTATGAGAGACAGACAGAGACAGAGAGAGACAGAGATGCTGTGAACATGCATGAGTGAAAGAAACTGGGGGCCAGCAGATGGGATGAAATGTTCTATTACGGAGTGATCATCTGAAGGAGGGACTTGCATGGTCCAGGGAGGACCCTTCTGCTTAGCAAGGCACCTCCATGGCCTGGTGTGTGTTCAGGAGACTTGGAGCCTCACAGGATTCTTGAGTTTCATCTGACTGATCAATGGTCACAGGTTGGATGAAATAAATTTTTTCAGATCCGATGTTACTGGGGGCTGAGTGGGTTCGTGATCGGGTGAGCCGGGTCATGCTGGCAGATGGTACTGTAACAAAGAACCAGGAGATTAGGAGGAGGAGCTCGGTGAAGCCCAGGTACTCTACAAGTACCTTACCTTTCCCAGCCCACCTCAGATGATGCCCAGGACAACATAAGAGGTGCCCCCCACTTAGCACTATTTGCTCAAGGTGAGTGACTGTATACAAGGCTGCTTTGATCCATTTCCAAGGACCACCTGTCACAGGTAAGTGGTGATGAGCGTCTGCCCATCTCATTTTTATGCATAGATGAACTTGCCACATCCTGTTGGTTTGCACTTTAAGGCTGGTTAGTCAATGGGTTGGTTATATTCTGAGAACTATGGACTCTTGGATGTCAAACTTATGCCATCACCCATAAATAGAAAGCATATACTACTCACTGTAGCCCATTCCCTGCAAAAAGTACTTGAAGGCTTCGGTGAGCTTCCCAGGCTGGGGGTACAAAACAAGAAGTCATCAATCATTTGTGCATGGAGGCACGATCTTTAATCCCAGCACTCAGGAGGCTGAAGCAAGTGGATCTCTGTGACTTTTTAGACCAGCCTGGTCTATATATCGAATTCTTGGCTGGCCAGGCCTACATAGTAAGAGCCTGTCTCAAAATGAATGAATGAATGAGTGAACGAATGAATGAATGAAGCAAACAACAACAAAGAAAAATTTAAAAAAGGGTAGAGGGGTAGCAATGAGCATGTGTGTGTGTGTGTGTGTGTGTGAGAGAGAGAGACACACACACAGTGCACGTATTTATTATGAACATGTTCTTACCTGAACTACTTGGGGCAGTCCTCCACAGTCTGCCATCTAGAAGAGAAAGAACACCCAAGTCAGCAGGACCTCCACTAAGGGGAATGCTCTCAGCATCCCAAAACCTTTCAAAGGGTCTATTTGGCTGACTTGATTCTATATGTTTGTTTGTTTATTGGCAGGGGCTCTTCATGTAGCCTTGGTTGTCCTGGAACTCTATGTAGACCAGGCTCCCCTAAGACTCACAGAGATCCTCTTGCCTCTGTCTTCTGAGTGCTGACATTGAAGATATGCACCACTATTGCTGGCTTTGGATTGTCTCTGTTCAATGGGATATGAATTCCATGGTTTCATTGTTAAAAAGCTTTATGCCAGGCATGGTGTCACACACACATCTTAGCAGAGGCAGGTAGATCTCTGTGAATTTGATGCCAGCCTGGTCTACAGGACAAGTTCTAGGACAGCCAGAGCTACACCAAGAAACCCTGCCTTAAAATCCCCTACAAAACCAAAACAAAAAACAAACCAACCAACAAAATAAAACTTTATTTAAAAGGGAGCTGTGGTTTAAGATATGGAATGCCACAGATATCCTAAGGGTTTGAGGATGAGTCCATGGCTTGGATTAGGTGCCTGCTGTGCAAGCATGAGGACCAGAGTTCAGATCCCAGAACCAGCCTCAGTAGTGCCTGTCCGTCACCCCAGTGCTCAGAAATGAGGGGCATAGAGAGGCAGATCTTTGGTCCCATTAGCCTGTCAGCATAACCGAGCCTATGAAAGACTCAGGCCGGAGAGAAGGTTCAGTGACTAAGAGTACTTAGTCCTAGCAGGGTGGTGGTGGCAAGTGCCTTTAATCCTAACACTCAGGAGGCAGAGGCCAACGGATCTCTATGAGATCAGTAAGACTGGCCTACATAGTGAGTTTCATAGCTAGGGCTACAAAGTGTGGCCCTCTCTCAAACCAAACCCATTGTTGGCCTTTGACCTTCACACATTTGCATGTACACCTCCAGGCATGTTTGTACACACCCATAAGTGTGCACAAGTGTGTGGGAGAGAGTATGGTTATGCTTGTGTGTGGGAGTTTGTGTGCATGCATGCGTGTGTGTGTGTGTGTGTGTGTGTGTGTGTGTGTGTGTGTGTGTGTGAGACAGTTCATGTGTGGTGTGTTTTAGGGAGTAAACCCAGATGGCCAAGCTGACATGGCAATGCCTGTACTTGGTAGGCTATCTCACAGGACAAGGAGACATTATTGTTACCCATCAGATAACCCAGCATCTGTTCACATGCATCAGGAGCTGTGCTGTCTGCAGTAGCCCCAGAGCACCAGGCCAGTTCCCAAAATGCATGAACAGAGGCTCCAGTTCAGACACACTCAGCTGGAGCTCCTGTCAGGGACTATATAGCCCTGGCTGGCCTGGCCTTGAACTCACAGACATCCTCCTGTTGCTGGCTTCTAAGTGTTGTGATTAAAGGTGTGTGGCACCATGCTCAACCAATGGAGAGAGTATGTTTAGTTTTTTAGACCGAGCCTTGACTTTTATCACCTAAAAAATTCTATGTTCACTTTGCTTTCTTTGTGCTTTTTAACACTTGAGTCTGTCTTGGATACAGGACAATCAGAAGCCCTGCTGACGTGTTTCTTTGTTTTAGACAATCTTGTGAGGTCTTTAGATCTTACAGCCTGAACCCCTACAAGTCTGCCTGGGCACATACCACATTCAGATTTTGATGCTTTCCCAACCTTCTTGGTAAAAGGTAAACAATCCTGTTGCCAGGAAGTTTTATTAAAGGCTGTCTTGTAGGTAAGCCTATGATGGTATCTCAAATGCCGGGCCTCCAACGTTCCAGGAAGAGGAAAGAGAAATGGCAATGGGGGGAATCTTCACACTAGCTCAGAAATTTAGGTAAAAAGTGGCTGTTTGCCAATCATGGTAGCCCATATCTTTAATCCCAGCACTCAGGAGGCAGAGGCAGGCAAATCACTGTGAGTTCAAGGACAGCCTGGTTTACATAGTGAGTTCTGGGCTAGCCAGAGCAATATAGAAAGACCCTGTATCAAAAAGAAAACAAATAAAAAAGTAAGAGTTTCTGTCTGGGGATATAGACTTGTCAGAGTGCTTACCTGGCATACATACACAAAACGTGTGGCTCAATCCCTAGCACTGCATGAATTACGTACAGTGTTACATGCCTGAAATCCCAGAACTTGGAAGGTTCAGAAGTTCAAGGTCATCTTCAGTTACACAGATTTGAGGCCATTCTGGATACATGAGACCTTTTCTCCCCCAAAAGAGTTGCTGTCTACCTGCATAGAGTGTACCTATCCTAATTACCAATACAGCAAGGTTAAGACTGTAAAAGCATTTCCATTTTGTTTGATTCTCTCAATGACACTGAATTATTAACATTTTTAAAAACATATCTTCTTTTTAAAGAACTGTGGCCTTTTTGTTTTTCCTTTAAGACTGTGTAACCCTGGCTGTCCTGGAACTCACAATGTAGACCAGGCTGGCTTCCAACTCACAGGAACTCACCGGCATCTGTCTCCCTGGTGCTGAGATTAAAAGCATGTGCCACTATACCAGACCAGTGAGTCATTAACATTTTTGTTACAGTTTTTGATTTTTAGACATTCTCCCTATGTAGCCAAAGATGGCCACCAAGTCGAGATGCTCCTTCTACCTCCCAAGTGCATTACAGATGTGTGCTATCATATCTGGCCTATGCAGTTTTGGATGATCTCAGGAAGTGTT